TGTCCAGGCTGATTCAGACCTCCGACTTGAACCTGGACTTGAATATGTTCAACATTTACCCTGAGATTCAGCCTCAGGCTTGGCCTCCTTGCTTTGGGGTGACTATCACATTTGGAGAGACCATTGCTTCAAAGGATTACTTTAGGCAGTGCACCACCTGGACAAAGGCCAGACCGCACTGCAGGCCTGTGGTTAGAGTCCTCAGTGTGTTGGGTGTACTCATATTCACTCTCTAAATGTTGGTTCATTCTTTCAATAGGGAGTTATGATTTTTGTTCTGTTCTATTTTATAATTATTCATTACCTTTCAGAGCCTTTTGTTTTTCCTTGAATATAAAAGCAAAATTTGTCCTCAGCTCATTCTAAAAATCTCAGTTGTGTGCTATTTCTCGAGATTGTTTTCTCAGGATATCCCAGCTCTCTGAAGATGGTAATTCTGTTTTGATTCTCTTTATAATCAGATTTCCTTTTGAAGCACTCTTGAGTCCTATTGAAACTCTCTGCTAGGTTATGTCTTTCCCTGAAGGTTGGGGAGATGATTTTTAATTCGGCAAGCTTGTCACCTTCCCATGCCCCATCCAAATCCCGAAGTCATAGAAGTTGTGAATTCTATTCTTTCTTCCATCATTTCATCTCAAGAGACTCAGCTGGATGAGCTCACTTTGCTCCCCGCACCCCACCATTTATCTCAAGGTAGTTTATGTATGTGTTGGTTACAGGGCGGGTAAGTAATGAAGGTTAAGTTTGTAGTAGTTTAATTTTCTGGGGGTACATTTTTCAGCTTTTTGGATTTATGTTGTTGCTGTGTTTTTCTATACTAAGTAATTATAAGACTTGCATGAGCCAAAATTACAAACAGTATGAACTGAGAACAAAAGCCTACTCTTAAGACATATCTGCAGAACAGCAGGGAATGTATGGCCGTGGGGTCCTGGAGGACTTGTAAAGAGCAAGGATTGGATTAAATTGATGTGGGAAATCCTGACTGGAGTTTTCTAACCGTCCCCTTGTCTGTTGGAAATATTTTTAATTCAAAGCATTAAAGACATTTGAAACAGAGAGATAGCTTGGACTGTTGGGTCAAAATAAGAATATTAAGTCAAGTCACTCCTTCAAAGCCACACGACGTGGAAATCTCCCAGAAGTTGCACGGTGGCCTAAGGGAAATGAGCCAGAAGATTCCTCTGGGAGGAGTTGACCAGGGTCTATGACAGGGAAACATTCATTATAGTGAGCAGCCTGGTTGTCAGCTGTGGCCCAGGGTGAAGACTGAATTTCCTCTAAGGCAAGTCCAGGCTAGTTTCTCATCTTAAAGAATGGCTGGGCATCCCAGAAGAGTGAGCTGGACTTCAGCATGACTGTGTCTCTGTGAGTAAAATACCAACGTAATTTAGCCTTCAGCTTGCCCTGCTCCAATCAATTTTCTTCACTACAGCTATAGTGATATTTTAAAAGCAGAAATTGGATGGTGTCACTACCCTGATTAAAGTCTGAGTTCCTTCCCATGGCCCACAAGGCCTGGCGGGATCTGGCCTAAGCTTACCTTTCCAGATTCATTTCAGGTAGATGATGCTTCTTCTTGTAACTAAGTCTTCTCAGGCATTCTTCTCTGGAATGTTTTTTTCTTTCCTGTTTATCTGTTTCACTTCTATCTCAGGTCTCAGAGGAAGCACTGCTTTTTAGAGAATCCTTCTCTGACCTCTTTGAGGAGGTCGAATCCCCTTGTTAAGAGATTTCCCATCCTTGGTGCAATGATGACAGGTTTTACTCAGGGTCGTGCTAGGCTGTGAGGTCCAGGATGTCATTGTGTTCATCACACCAGGTCAGGGATTTGTAGGTGGCTGATTGGTGTTCTTTGAAATTCAGGAGTTCTCTTCCTTTCCTAATTTAACAGAGACAAAACTTCAGCCACTAGAATATCACCTCTGCATTTCCACCCTCATTCTCTCTCTCTCTTTTTTTAAAATTGATTTTATTATTTTTTAAAATACACGACAACAGTGGAATGCATTACAATTCTTATTACACATATAGAGCATAATTTTTTGTATCTTTGTATATAAAGTATGTTCACACCAATTTATGCCATTATACATGTACTTTTTGTTTTGCATTACAATTCTTTTTTTTAAAAGAGAGAGTGAGAGAGGGAGAGAGAGAGAGAGAGAGAATTTTTAATATTTATTTTTTAGTTTTCGGTGGACACAACATCATTGTTTGTATGTGGTGCTGAGGATCGAAACCAGGCCGCACGCATGCCAGACGAGCGCACTACCGCTTGAGCCACATCCCCAGCCCATCATTACAATTCTTAAAGCACATATATACCACAATTTTTCATATCTCTGTATATAAGGCATGTTGACAACCAATTCAAGTCTTCATACATGTACTTTGTATAATGATGACCATCATATTCCACCATCTTGCAAATCCCCTGCCCCCTCCCTTTCCCTCCCACCCCTCTTCCCTATCCAGAATTAATCTAATCCTCCCATAATCTCCCTCCCTACCCCATTATGAGTCACCCCCCTTATATCAGAGAAAACATTCATTTTACTCAGCATTAAAAAAGAACAAAATCATGGCATTTGCAGGTAAATGGATGGCATTGGACACGATGATAATGCTAAGTGAAGTTAGCCAATCCCCAAAAAAACAAATGTCCACCCTCATTATCTACCTGGTGAATCCCTGTGTATGTTTTAAGATCAAACTTCACAGTCCCTTTCTTTGAGATTCTTTTCACAGTTGTCCTCTGTGCTAGTCAAGGGAGTCTTGGTGGCTTAAACCAATCAGGACATCCATCTAGGTCATGCAGCATGGTCATCATGTTTATCTGGTGGCCTGCTTCTCATTCAGGGACCCAGGCTGAAAGAGTCTCCATCTCTGTGCTTCCACGGAACAAGACACTGTGCTAAGCCATAAGCTGGCTCTATCTTTTCTCCTAGAAATGATGCACTTTCATTCATATTTTATGATCAGACATACAGCCAGGTTTAAATGAGAAGAGGGTGGGGAAGTACAGTGGTACTATGTGTGAAGAAGTAGGAAACTGGTAATATTTGATGAATAACACTATGCCACCCAACATTTTCCAATACATGTCTTCCCTTGGTGTTCTCAACTTGTCACTTTCATGAATTCATTCCTCCACACGCCTTTAATCATACCAAAGACCTTATAATCAACAATAGTAACATCCCTTTTAGAATCTTAATGTGAAGCACGTTACTCTACTAAGAAGCAACTCTGAGATGGAGACTGGCACACAGAAAGCTGGTGACTGCCTGAGTTATTTCATTAATTTCTAGTGTTTTGTTCTTATAATATGGTTATAGGAATCTTGTTAACTGTGGGTCTTCTCCTTGGACCTCAATTACCCAGCAATAACTTTTATTTATAGGCTGACAGGTCTTTAGCACAAAAAAGAATATGATGTTATTCTAGGGTGTTTTATTAGGAAATAAATCAACCTACTTTTCTTTAAAAAATAAGTAGAAAAATGGGTTTTCTAGTGACTCAGAGTAGCCATATTTATTCTTGGCTTCTGCACATTAAGGGCATTAGGATATCAGTGATTATCTTAATGGAAACACTGTGTTTAACTAGTTATCATTTTCAAGGTGATGTCATGAAATAAATCTTGATGAATAAGAGGTCAACTTCTGAGTTCAAATCCCAGGTCCAGTATATTTAAATGGGATGACTTTTTGTCAGAGATTTAACTTCTCTGAATCTGTTGTCCAGACTTTTTACTTATTTATTTTTACTGGGGATTGAACCCAGGGGCACTTAACCACTGAGCCACATCCCTAGTTCTTTTTTATATTTTATCTAGAGACAGGGTCTTGCTGAGTCGCTTAGGGCCTTGGTAAGTTGTTGAGTCTAGTTTTGAAATCCAGTGCTCCTTTTTCAGCCTCCTCAGCCACTGGAATTACAGGCATGTGCCTCTGTGCCTCGACTTTAAAATGGGGGGGGTGTTTGTACTTTGTTCTTGAACTGCATATGAGTCAAATTAGGTAATTCCTTTAAAGATACAAAGCATTTTGTATGCCTCACTGAATTTTAAGCATTAAGTTCAGAACTGACTCTTAGGACAAAATGATCAGGTATTGGGGGCTTGGACTAGTTAAATGCAAGTCATTAGCCACTAACAATCAGAACCAGAGCGAGAGACCATATTTTCTATCTTGGATTCCCATGCTGTACTCAAATCCCTTCCTCTTTCACACCATCAACTATAAGCAGCTTGAATAAGATGAACATAAATCAATTTTTAAAAACCCAATCTATAAAAGAGGCCAAACTCTGTACTTACGGGTAGAGGTTATTTTAATCCACACCATGATCTTTTATGAGAAAGCAGAAGATGATCTGACCTCCCTTCCAAAGAGAATAATATATTTTGTTGAATCAGCCCATTATTCTATCACATGGGAGAGATCTCCAGGTCAAGGGATGAAAGACATTAATTTACATGAGACAACAGCTGCTGTCCTTAGTATCCACAGTACAACACGAGAGAAACTGGCTAGAGCATCATTTTGTAACAGAAGGATTAAAGCATGTCTTAGTAAGACACATAGCAGAGAGCAGCCGGATTCCCTTGATCTCTCTGATAAAAGCTGTACCGTGTACCATGGATGCCCAATAAATATTAATTGGTATCAACTTCATGGGCACAGAACTCCTTGAGTTTGGACGTTTAAATTGAGCATCCTCCTTGGTGGGAAATTAATAATTGATTCTGTCTTCATACTTCTGGGGTTCTTAACTCTTCTGTCTCACCAAGTGTCTTTTTAAGAAATACTTTCAGCTTAGGACAGGATCTCATGTCTCAGCTGAATTTGCACTTAAGTTTTTTGTGTTTAATACATCTTGCTTTTCCTCCTGACTTCATTGGACATTCACCTTTTGTAACTTTATTGTAAGATGATTGCACTCTGGTTCAATTATTTGACTAACCATGATATCACTTCTTTTTTCCCCCCCATCAGATATTGATGAATGTGCAGCTAAGATGCATTATTGTCATGCCAATACTGTGTGTGTCAACCTGCCGGGGTTGTATCGCTGTGACTGTGTCCCAGGATACATTCGTGTGGATGACTTTTCTTGTACAGGTGAGAATTAAGAAGCATTTCCCCCTAATTTATCCCTTCTGTACACCACATTTGTGTTGCATTTAGCTCCTGGTGCACAAAGTATTGTTTTCCTTAAATAATTTGCTTTCATTATTTCACCCTCGCCTTTTTGAGAAAAATATAATAATAACAGAAATTTTATCAGCATGATTTATTTCCACTCCCAGTATTTCTGCCTGTTTGTGTGAGTACAGTTGCATGGATATGTTATTTGGAATTGGAATTGAAGTCTCCGTTGCCTTTGGTAATACTGAAGTACTTAAAGGTATCAGTGCTAAAAATAGAAAGTATCAAACAATTTTTTTTTTGTTAAGAACATGTACTTTGGGAAAGATAAGCATTAAATTAGAAAGGGTGGCAGGAGTCTCTCATGGTCAGGGAAAAGACATGGGAACCAGGCAAGGTTACTTTGATTAACATTTGCTTATTTTCAGTGTCCTATCTCTTCTCACTATGTCCCTGTGGCTGGCACTAAACTGTAATACCAAGGACAGTCACTGTCTCTGTGTGAGTTGTACTGGCTTTGTGGAATACCTGGTAGTTGCAAAGTATTTTTTAATTATGTATCTGCAGGTATCAACTTACATTGGTTTGGGTATTAAAAGATTCCAGTCTTTCTTATCTTGAATTAAATGTATTCAAATGCCCAACTGCCACCTATACACATAAAGGACTTCTTGAACTCATGGTTTCAGTCATGTTGTACCTTTTCCTAACTTCTGCATCTTTCTTTCTGTCCTAATGATATTGGCCTATAAAAATTACACTCTCTAATCATAAAGTAATGCCACTTTTCTTAATTTTTCTAAATGACCTTTACAGAAGTGGAAAAAGTTACAAAAATTATGGAAACACATATGTCCAAATTCCTTTGTCATTGATTGTATGTTTACAAGTTGTTCTTCTCCAGGTGAAGGGAATGGAGAGCTCAGATTGATAAAGGTTTCTGAGAGTACATAAACCAAATGCGATTTAACAGTCTGATACATAGCATAATTAAAAATTCCTAGAAAAACATGAAAGGTTTTATAAACTTAGCATGCTGAGATCTAAATTTTTTAAAGGTTTAAATTTCTTTTGGACCTCTAAACAAACATGATGTAAAAACCTCAGATGTTATAGGTGTCTATCACTCTATTCTTAATAGTATACAGAGCTCGTAACTTATTTTAACCTTAAGATTAGAAGAAGCCAGTGCGTCTCCTCCAGACACAACAGCTCATAACTAAGGAAACCTTAAGGACAACCCTATTGTATGGAGGGCCTTGTTGAAATTATAGCAGAACATCACTTCTGCTCTTAAGTTTTCATTGAGAAAGGGGGAAGCAAGTTGTTACTTGCTAAATTCCTATTAAAGTCAGATGTTCTGCCTGGTAGTTTGTATATGGAATGAGATGGAAGATGTACTATCTTAGGAAATGGCTCCAGAATTTCTTATATAAAGTGAACTCTGTTTTTTTTGGAATAAAAGAAGTATACCCATCCTCATACACACAAAAATAGTAAATGACCCTGGAGGGGAAAAAAAGTCTATGGTATAAACATATACTTTTGTTTTGTTGTATATGTGTGTATGTGTATTTTGCCTGAGAGGGAATAGCAAAGTTAGAAATTGCAGAAGAAAGAAAATTAGGTAGAGAGGAGAGGAAGGAATCAGAAGGAGAAAGCAGGCTGCTGTGAGAGGAGAGATGGAAGGTTTTTTAAAGAGCAGCAATGTTTCATGTGTGGCTTATCCACTGTTTGCTCTACAACATGCTGTGTTAATCTTCCTCACGACCCTGAAATCCTCAGCGAGTCCACCTTCCCCTAATGCTGGGTAGCACTGCCCCCAACACTAGGACACATGTTCACCTGGTGGACAGCAGAAATGGCACCTGTCACGCAGGATGTTGGGATGGAGGAGGCAGAGGAGCCATCATAGTGGGACCGTCTCTGTCCCTCCTGATGCCCCTTGACTCCCACTGCCACACACTTACTTAGCCGTACTGCATATCTTTTGTCACTGCCTCTTTTCAGGAATTTCATAAATTATAATGGGGACTTTGGACTTCCTCAGGTCACACAGCAGAGAAGATCTTCTTTACCCCAAAGCACTCCTTGGATTCCAGGTTCCTTCCAAGCGACTCACTGCTCCATTTTTGTTTTCTGCTTCTCTGCACAGCAGGAATTAGTCTGTCTGTGGGTGTCATCCTCATTTGCCTTCACTCACCTTATACTTCCACCCTGACCTTACAAAGAGACCATATTTGTCAGGGTCCTCAAGAAGCTGCTTTTGCTAAATCTAATGTTCTCATCTCAGAAGCAGTTGGCACAGCATTTAACACACTTTCTTCTTTGAAACACATTCTTCTCTTGGCTTCTGTGAGGTCCTGTTTCCAACTTCTTTTCTGTCTCACTGGCTACTCCTACCTAGTGTTTCTGGATCAGCACTTATTTTCTCTGCTGACCTTTGAAAGGCTTAGGGTACCCTAGGGCTCTGCCCTCGTCCCATTCAAAATTATATATATATAATTTTTTTCGATGCCTTCATCAACTTTACGACTCTAACTGCATCTCAATATCAGTAACTACTAATTTCGATCTCCAGTTAACATCTTCATACTGAACTTCTGAATCATATATTCAACTTGACATCAAAAGATAGACGTTTAAGAATGCATTTTATACTTAACATGTATAAGACAAAACCCTTAATTTCCTTCCACTTCTGCAAACCTCCTCCTCTTCCAATTTTTCCCATCTCAGCAAATCAAAGTACCATATGTGCAGATTTTCAAGATACAAAACAGGGTTATATTGGTTCCATTTCCTCCGTAGGGGCGATAGTTGATTACCCTTCCACTTTAAAGCAATTCACCAGTCTTATTAACTCTATCCTTCATACTATGTCCCTGGTCTGTCCACATTCTCTATTACCATCCTAGTAGACTTTTCCAGTGGCCACCAAGCTTGCTCCTCTGTAATGCATTCTTCACATAGCAACCAGAGCAAATTTTTAAAAACAGAAGTTATACAAATATGCTTAAAACACTCATGTGTATTTCATTAGGTAGAAAATCAAATCTGTACCTCTTATATTGATGTATAACCCTGTGTGATTCTTCTCTCTTCCTGTCCAGTTTCATCTTATACCATTTCCCTCCTTGCCATTTATGACATGACCCTTGTCTTCTCCATTAAATAAGCTTGTTTCTGCATTAGTTCCTATGTGTGAACTGTTGCCCCTGATTTAATGTCTTTTTAGCATGATATCAGAATAGGAGATTTTTTTTTGTTATTTAGATCTCAGCCTAAAAATGATTAACTCAAAAGGCTTTTGCCAATCAATACAAGTATTTTTTCTGTCATAACTCCTGATTTCAATTCTCTCCATGTTACTTATCACTCACTATATAAAGTGTTTTTGCTTTTAATTTATAAGTGATTTTTTATTTGTCCCTTCCTATTAGAATGTAAACTCAGAGCAGGGACCATTTTCATTTTGTTTCCTATTGTATCTTGACTATTTAGGACATTGCTTGGCACAGAACAGTATTCAGTTAATATTAGTTGAGTGAAAGAATGAATAAACCTAATTGACCTTTGACAAACTCGTTTTTAAAATATTTCTCATGTCATACCTACAGGTTCTTGTGAACTTCACTGGTATGATACATGTGAAAATATTTAACATGGTGCTTACATCAGCCAGCATAAGATATTTTATAGTAATAGATAAGCCTCAATAAGAGTGACTTAAAATAAAGTTTTATTTCTTATGCTATTTATCTACCACTGATCAACAGAGGTGTTCTGTTTATAATTACTATGGAATACAGTCTAATGGATTAGTCAGTATGGTGAACATTGCCAGTCACTAAGACAGGGAAAAGAGAGCCTGGAGGGTCCTCCACCAGCCATTACATGTTCTGCCCAGGGAGTGACACATATTTCCATGACTGGTCACTAGTCCCATCCACCCACACAGGAATGAGGAAATGCAACTGTACCACCTGTTTTGGTGGAGAACCAGAAGCAGTAGATGAGTGGTGCTAATGAATGTCATGACTGATACTGCACAGATCCTCAAGAAAGGAAGTTCTTTTGACATGCAAAGCTGCGGGGTCAATCTTCTGTCAATATCAATTTGGCAATATGATAGGGAATGTAGATTAAAAATAATCACAATACTAAGCATGGTGTATTAAGTACTATGATGGAAGTATAAACCAAATTCAGTAAGAAAAAGATCCTTGATTGCAAAGATGGGGTATTTGGAATTTCTGTTTGTTTATTCTTGAAAGTCAAGAGAAGTTATTGGAATTTACTGGAGCATGTTGGCAGGTAATGTCTGTATTGGGTTAGAATTTACAGTGCGGGTATGGATAGAAGAGAATAGTGCAAAGGATGAGCTTTCTTCCAGGACGTCATTTTTCCTCTTAGACCCAATTCAAGGAACTCCATTAGACACTTATGTAATATACTTGAGTCTCTGGAAGCCTCACATTAACTTTGGTATTACTTTGATCAGTTTTTTTTTTTCTGCTATGACTAAAAGACCCAACAAGAAAAATTTGAGAGGAGGAAAAATTAATTTGGAGCTCACAGTTTCATAGGTTTCTACCTGTAGATAGCTGGCTCCGTTGCTCTGGGCCTAAGGTGAGGCAGAACACCATGGCAGAAGGGTGTGCTGGAGGAAAGCAGCTCAGGTCATGGCACCAGAAAGCAGAGAGCTCCCCTCACCATGGACAAAATACAAACCCCAAAGGTATACTCCCAGTGACCCAACTTCCCCAGCCACATCCTACCTGCGTATAGTTACCATCTAGTTAATCCCTATCAGAGGATTAATACATGGATTAGGTTAATGTTCTCGTAACCCAATCGTTTCACCTCTAAACTTTCTTGTATTGTCTCACAAATGAGATGTGGGGGAACACTTCATACCTAAACCATAACAAATGTCCAGGAAATAAGCCTATTAGGCCAAATGTGTTCTT